AGTCACCTTTCAATTCCGAAAAGCACCGTCGGGGACACTTTAACATGTGAAACGTACAGAACATGCAGAGAAGCCGAGCAGGGTGCTTTTGTCGAATTGCTGAAGCAGCCAAGAGTCTGACATCTTCTGTATTTTGTCGCAGCACGATGCGGATGTCCACGCTGGAAGGAGGAGTCCCCATACTTTCCCACAAGTACATCTTAAGCGCCACCTTGTAGGAGTATCGGCAACTATTTTCTCAGCTTGACACAGCGTCATACAGCGGGGAGTACCCGCACTTCCCACGATTGCACACGACGTCTAATCTCGACGGAGACAGTTGCATCTGTGGCGCTGAGGTACCACATCAGTTGACGGAACGAGAGGTCGCCAATTCAAAACCAGTTGAGGGCCAAGACCAAGAGCCTTTTCAGAGAGAATATTACGACGTGCAGCTGTCACATGACACGATGTCACAGACATTGGCGGCTAGCAACGGGTCCTAACTATTGAATGAGGGATGACTATCAACTGATGATCGACTATTGGCCGATGATCAACTAACATTCGGAAGATTGATTATCAGTTGATCGATTTATAGATAGATTATTGATAAATTATTGAATATCGAAAGTGTTTCAGATTTTGGAAACACATGTTTTTTATATCAGATTAGGTTAGGTTAGGATAGGTTAGTTAGATATCTGAATAGTTACGATAGGTTTCATATCGGAAACATTTTATATATTAGAAACACATATTCTCGATATCAGAAACACATGTTTTCGATATCGATGAATTATTGGGCTGATCGTGAACACTTTGACTACTACCGTATTTATTCAAATACAAGTACCTCTTTTTTTTTTTTTTTATGTTTTTAAAAATTAAGGGTCGACCTATAATTGTGATTAGCTAATTTCGACCTACATTCGTGACTAAATTTCGGGACCCTACCGAGTGCATGGAGCCAGTGAGTCACTGAGCCAGGCCGAAGAGCCCAAGACGCGGTAGCGCCGTAACCCCGCACTGCTTTTTAGTGTGAAAGCATTAACTGTCTGATAGAGCGAGCCGACGTCATCAGTTTGAAGCGCGCCAAACGGCACCTTAAATCCCTTCTCCAAGTAAAGCCAGCTCCCAGTTATGGAACCACACGAAAAGCCTACACAACGGCACCTAGTTTCTCCGATCCCAAAGGAGCAGAGTAAAGCTGATGGATATCGCCTTCAGTCCCACTGGCTGGCGCACGTCGATGAGGCTCCCATTGGCCGCTGCACACGTGAGTCTCATAGACCGCCGCCCCATAATGCTGCTTGTCCGTGCTGTGAGCGCGAATGTAACACAAGGCATCCAAGGTCACAGCACCAAGAAGCGCTGGGAGATCGCTCGCACGGCTGACACAAATACACCGCAAACGAAACCAGTGCAGTGCAGTAAACTCCTTCCACTTTAGAACACGAAGGACTGGCGGGGAGAGAAGGAAGCTCTTCCCTCCCTTCTATCCTTCCGTATACCACCAACCGCACTGCACCAGTGCGATGCGGGCCAATTGGCCATAAAGTGACTTTAGGTCAAACAGGGCGTGAAGGGCGAGGAGGCAAGAGCTTCCCTTTCTTTCTTATCTCTTCGCTTCTGCCTTGGAACAATGCACAAGAAAATATTTTTTATTCTTTGTGCATGCGTGCAGTTACCATAGAATACCGGGCAAGCGCCCACTTAAAATTTAGAGATAATTGCGAAAAAATGGGGGATGGGCGCTTGTCCGGTCATCAATTTTACATTTCAATGTACTGTGCATATTTTCTCAGATCTTACAAATTTGGGGAATGGGCGCTTAATGTGGAATGGGTGGATGCTCGGTAATCTACGGTATTTTTTTAACTGCTTCTTTTCGTAAGCAACCGCTTCGCGCTGAGTTTTTTATTTTTTTTTTTATTTTTGTGCTTTTCTGGAATTGGTTTTCTTCGCCAATTTTTGTTCGCAGCTTGAACTTTTCGAATTTTCTTTCTTTCCTACATTTTTTGGGGGGAAGGAACTGGCGAGAAGATGATTGTTTGCGCATTTTTGGAAGCCTTCCCGGGGGGAAAAAGTTTGATACAGCCAATATGTAGTTCGTTATAAAATGTACTTTTTATATCCATTTTTATTTAAATTTTCCGCGAGTTCGATATCGACAATAATTCGCTGTACGCGGGTTCGTTCTAAACGGGTTTCACTGTACTTTTAGATAATGCCGAGCTGAATGCACTTAGTTTTTTTGGCGGCTGGAAGCTACGAAGTTCCATTTTAATTTAACATCAAGGTTAGTGACAGCCTACAGTTTAGTGCCTAAAAGAACTTTAAGATATAACGAATGTTGCCACTGTCGCCATGAGCAGATACGCATGTGGGCATTTTTCAATGTCACGCGAAGGTTCAAGCTTGATTTGTGTTTTTCACAGCTGCTGTGCAGTAACAGATTGCAGAAAATATATAAATCAATACCGACTCGGTGGGATCAAACACGATCACAGCATAGGCCTCCGATGCTGCCTGTGATTAGGGAGTATTATAGATGATCCTAGTAGTGTTACTATTTTTATGGCTCCAAATATTACCTACTGCCAAAGCTTGTGAATAATCTGTGTGTGCTTATATAAGAAAAATACAAGAATATATTTGTGTTCGATTTTGCTCAAACTTTTAGGACAGAGACACCAATACAATCCAATGCCAGGAAATTTTTTTTTTCTTTAGAGCGCGGGTCTTAGGCGCTCGTTTCTGGCTTGAGTGGCGGCGGCGTAACCGCGCGGTGCATTATGGGTAAGTTTCTCCGCTAAATTTAACGGGAAAATTTCCTCCTAAATCTAGCGCAAAAATTTCCCCGCTAAATCTAGTGGAAACGTTTCCCTGCTAGATCTAGCGGAAAAGTTTCCCCGCTAGATCTAGCAGAAAAATTTCCCCACTAAATCTAGCAGAAAAATTTGCCCGCTAAATCTAGCGGAAAAATTTCCCCCCTAAATGTAGCGAAAAAATTATTTGCCCGCTAAATCTAGCGGAAAAATTTCCCCGTTAGATCTAGCTGAAAAATTTACCCGCTAAATCTAGTGGAAAAATTTTACCACTAAATCTAGCGGAAAAATTTTTCTGGGGGGTCACGTGACCCCCCCCCCCCAAGATCACATGAACCCCCCCCTCCCCCAGTACCCTTCCCTACTCCTCCTCAAGAGCTGCGCTCTGATTCGGCGTTACAGATAGTTGTAAACGGCTTCCACTTTTTTTTTACTTGGTACTAGTTTATTGGACATGTGCAAAATATACACCTTTTTATTAGTCTCAATTTGTTTAGGAAAACCAAGTTTTGCTGCCGTTTTCTGGTTGGGATGTCTTCCGATACAGAAGCACATCTATATGGATTTGAGACTGCATTACTAAATAGCTATAAAAAATATCCTTCGCCGAGTGGACTTAAGGTTCAATTAATGTCACTTCTATTTCTTTGGTGTTTGGCTCACAGGCAGGACAGCCTAGTCTGGCATAAGTGGAGACAAGCAATCCAGATAATATAAATCATTTTAAACTGTTAAGTTTAAACTCACATTTTAATTATTACATCGCGATAAAAAGATTCCTTGCCCAGGAAGTTATTTTAGGCATTATCTATATGATGAGTCGCTCCATTACATTTTTTTCTGAAAACAAATATGTATCACTAATATTCAACAATAAGCAACACAATCTCCTGGTTGAGTTTACATTTCCAGATTTTCTGACATTTGTTTACTGTTCGTTACATTGAAATAAAAACCCTAACTAGAAACAGTTCCCTCAGATGCAGCACCCTTTAATAATTTCAGTTCCAATAGCACTTTGCAAGGCGAAATCCCACTATAACATGTCTTGACTTCCTTCTGCTTTTGACTGAAATTCAAGTCTTCAACGGATTCTCCAATCTTAATAACAAAATAATCTGTGGCATGTTACCAAAAACACTGACCTTAAAGGGAGCAGGCTTTGTTACATTGTATTCCAATGTGGCCAGCAGTGGCATGCGCAGTAACAATGTAACTGCGGTGACCCACCGTCGTTTGCTTATGTCAAGCAAACCATTATGAGTCTTCTTCGTTCTGTGGTGTTATTTTGGTGAGACAAAAACGTTAGACTCCATCTTTTGTGTTGAGCTACTGCAAGTGGCGCATGCTCAACACAAGCCACGTGAAATGCGTGGGCGGCCATGGCCTAAGGTAGTGTTATGAATCTGTTTCCGCTTGGTTGAAACAGTAACCGAAGCAATATTTCGCATGTATGGCTGAACCGAAACTGAACTGGAACAAAACGAAAGGCTACCGAACACGAAACCGAACTGGAATAATGACCGGTTCGATACCCTGCTCAAGACATGGTAACTAACACTTGACGTGCATTTATGGCACCTACATTGTACCTAAATCTTACAAAAATAGTAGAGCAGCGATGAAGCAAATCTACGCTAATATGCTGTCTAACTCTTCCGTGCTGTGTGCATCAGAAGCTTGTGAGGAATTTTTAAATTCTCGGGTAAAACAGATTTTGGATATGGCAAGGATATTTCCCAATTCCCATCAAGTTGGTTACAACCGGGCTCGATTGTGTGTCGCATCAAAGAAACCTGGACTGCCGCCGGACGGTACACCAAACTGCAGACACCGGGGGAGGGGGTTACTTCTTTGCAACGACAGTAAGTGGGGGAGGGCTTCGGCTGTGGCACAACCACAGTCAAATGGCCTCCAGCAAGCAATCGTTGCCTTCCATCCTACTTTGGCTGCGCCGCGTGCATGCTTGCAAGACGCCCGTCATCGAAGGTAGAAAGCCCGTGCCGGAGGCGGCACAATCAAAAGGCCTCTTGCTATTCTCGTCTACGAAATAAACTCTGTAGAGGGCAACTTCGCAATCAAGCGTCTAGAATGGCTCACCACAAACCGGCGGCCAATCTGCGACGCACTCGCCGGCAGATTGCAATTTGCCGTGTTGAGTTCGAAGAGAGCTTGGAATACGTCACTCACCGTTCCGCCTGGACTTTTGGCCGGAGGGGCACGAGGCTGGCGAGGTGCTTCGGACGCCCGCTACCGTCCTCCGTTGGACCCTGTCCCGCCTGCGTCGCTCCTCCTCCCCGACACTGCACCCGCTCGCACACGCTCCTGGGGGACGGCGGGACGGTGCCGTTGCCGGGTGCTCCGCTCGAAGACAGCTGCTTCCAGAGGGACCCGACAGCAGGGCCCCCCGAGGTGGCGGCGGGCCGGGGGCAGTGTGGGGGCAGTTCGGAGCCCAGCAGGCCGCAGAAGCCCGCCTCCACTGACAGGGCTCGGGCCAGGTGTGGCGAGTGGCGCAGAAGTGCCCGCAGGCGCGCAAAGATGCGTCGCAGGACGCCCGCCCTGGTGCCCAGGGCCGCGACCAGGGCGCCCCTGGGGGCGGGAGGCATCAGGTCTAGCAGGGTGAGGCAGCGCTCCAGGTGGGCCAGGTACTCGTCTGCCAGAGAGGACGCCTCCCCCCAGCCCAGGATGGTCAGGTTGGCAAACAGGTCCAGCTCCTTGGCGGCCGCCATGCACGCACCGCTCAGTCGGGGCACGTTGGGGACGATGTAGCAGTCGGGGTCCCGGTCACTGGATGCGGCGGCGCAGCCCTTAGGACCGTCTTCCGTCGTGGAATCGGGCGGCTGAAGAGTCAGAGCGTTTTGGACGGCGGGCATTTGTGGGACCTTCTCCAGGTTCTTCTTTTTGGCATTTGTGCTACATTCGTCCCCTCCCACTCGCGTCTGCAGTTCGGCACCTTCGCAGATGGAAATGCTTTTGCGGTCGTTTCTGTCATCTTCAACAAGGGCGACAAGGCAGACTTCCCCGGCGGTTGTCCGTGAACGTTCGCATCCCGCAACGTCTCCCTGCACTACCTCAGACACATTCTGTCTCAATTTCTGCTCTTCGCTGCCGTCTGGGCAGGTCAACAGAGCGCTCTCCATAGAATCGCGAGCAGACTCCGGTCGAGGACGAGCATGGGAGACAATCGACCGCACAGTGTCCGAACATACCCGGGAGACCTCGTCTCGACTCTCGGATCCCGGCGACGAGCCCGCGTTGCCTCCCGTTACAGGTACGGTCAAACCGGGACCGCTCGAGGCGCTCTCGCCTGTCTCGCACGACCGGGTGTCTTCTATCTCAGTCTCGGACCCGACGCCACAAGGATCATCGTGGATTTCCGTTCCCTGGGACAGGTCGCTCTCCAGCGTCTCAACGTTGGGACCGCAAGAGTGGTACGACTCCGTGTCCTGGTTCAGGCACGATTCCGCGTAACTGGAGTCTCTCCGCACCGGATGCCTCTCGTCCTCTTCTCCGGTGATGGGAAGCTCGGTCGACTTCTGTCTCCGGGGGCCGCAAGCTTGGTTCATCAGCCACGCCTCCACGATGGCCTTGTAACTCTCGTCGCCCCGTTCCGTCAAACGTCCGCCGGGCGTTGCATCCCTCTTTTCTACAGACACGATTTCATACTTGTCGGCGGGACCCCCCGAACCGTCGCGAACCTCCTCGTTGTCGAGATCGCTTTTCTCGGCCCACTTCGAAGGATCGGCCGACGCATCCTCTTTCGACAGGGTGCTCGGCTTGGAGACCCTGCGAATCTTGATCTTGCCGACGGTCTTACCGTCGTTCTCGGCTCCCTGCCTCTTGCCGGGACGGCCGTCACTTCCCGCGGCGCCAGACGATGCTCCCCCGACCTTGGAGTACATGGGCAGCGCCATGGGAAGCCGACAGGAGGAAGCCTTGACCCTGCCGTCCCCGGGCACCGGCAGAGACGCTTCGAGTGGCGTCAAGACTTTGCTCTGCGACCTTCGCCGAGAGGCCGAACCTCCGTGTCCAAACATGCCTCTCCTCCTCTTTCTGGAGTAGCACCGAGCAATCTGGTCCGGCAGCCGCTCGACCACCACGTGCGCGCATTGCCCGTTGACAGGCATCCTGCAGACAACAGATTTGCACACCACTGGTCAAGACGATCGCCTCTCATGCACGCTCGTGGCGTTTTACGCTAGGAATGTTGCTATTTATGGACCCAATTAATATGGATGGCCCACTTTATATACAACACTTTCGGGGACAAACTGTGTTAACTATATGCATTTTTCTCTCGTTATTATGAGAAAACTCGCACTATGGACGCTCACCAGATTTGGCTCCTGCAGACATTTGTTTTCATTCTCAAAGGTTAAAGGACGACCTACAAAAAGTTTTCCGCAAGTAGGAAAATCCTTCTCGCCACCCCTCCCATTTCCCTCTCTTCCACTGCTATCTTGACAGCGGGCCGGAGAGGGGCGGGACATTCTTTGTTGCCGCCTCTTGGGGCTGGATAAACCAGGAAAACCTTTATTCCCGACTGATGAAGCTGGATAAGCCTGGATCTTATCCCGACTGAGGCAGCAACAAAAGGAGTCCCTTGCTGTCAAGATAACAGAGGAAGAGGAAAAATGTGAAGGGTGGCAAGAAGAATTTTTCTACCTTGCGAGAAACCTTTTTGCAGGTAGGTCGGCCGTTAAGGGAAGTTTGAAAGGGAAGCGCTCCAGTAACACAGAGGACATACATTGAGGCAGAGACCTGCAATTAAAAAATAATTATTTTTAAAAGGCCTGGATGGGACACAAATATTAAAACAAAAATTACCACAAAAAAAATTTTTTTTTAGCAACATTTACATTGCTAGGCGCAATTCAGTTGCAGAAGGTGGAGGATGCAGCCCACTAAGCCCCACCCCATACTTACATCTCTCATTGGATGGAGAGATGATTGACATGTGAAAGGCTGGTTGTAAATGCGTATCTCAGTGATGTGATTGGCCTAACCTGTTTTGGAGCACCTTTCGGAGCAGCCAAAACAGTGTTTTGGAGCAGCAAAAGTGGCCTTTGGAGCAGCCAAAACAGTTCTTTGGAGCAGCAAAAGTGGCTTTTGGAGCAGCCAAAACAGTGTTTCGGAGCGACAAAAGTGGCTTTTGGAGCAGATATTCTTAGAAAAATAAAAATATTTGTTTTTAAGTGATAGACAAACAAAGGGCACTTTGCTTGCCGCAATAAACACATTATGGTCAAACTAGACCACCTGGAGTCGTTCAACGTGTAACTGAAATGCCAATGACATGACAAATTTTGCGGTGCTTCAGTTAAATTATACATATATATGTACCCGCTATAGATAAATAACAACCAAACTGGAATATTAAAATTTATTTGAACATGATCAGCTTAGTAGTAAATATCATAGTAGTAGATTGACTAGTTTTATTTAAATGGAAGCAGACTCCGACTGATGAAACACGTAACTACTGCAGAGCAATGCGAAATTGTACACAAGTCAAAGGTGCATTACGAGTCTTGGCGGGTGCTTTTCTTTTCGCTTGTCGAAACTTTCTCAAAAACGCTGCTCCAAGCCTCGCTTTACCTTCGGCTAGTAATGAATGTCAACTTCCAATGTCTTCAAAGAGACATTGAGACATCCCACAAGTGTAAAGTGCTGTAGGTGTTGACGAGCGATTCCGAAAAACCGCTTGCCGCCGTTTCACTGGTTCCCGACGCGCCAGATTTTCGTCAAAAGTAAGCAAACGTAAAAATGGATTGCAATCGTCCCGGCTGGTGCCTCTGTCGTGCAGTTTTATTCGCATGCACATGAGGGCAACTTCGGCAGGCTTGCAGATCGACGTGCTTCGTCGTGTGAGTGGAGGTGGCTGTTCAACCGAAACCATGCTACTCCGCTCCGTTGCCAACTGGTTCCCAAAACTGTATGTAAAATGTAACTGCCCAGCACACGACAAAAGAGTCCAGCGCCACGTGCTTGCCAGGCGGGCAAACAAGGTACATGCTAAACACACACAAAAACAGAACCTGAGTGCATTGCTGCAAGACATCGCAGGCCAGGTCAAAAAGTTCTTGGGGTTCTTTGTGCAATGACTGAACTCGAGACAAACAAGAGCGGTGTGCGTGTTCAGCGTGCATACATTGCCGTCAATGTTTTAGCTCACTTCTCTTAACCCACTTTTTTGCGAGGGAGATTTTTCATGTACCAAGGTTTCTCTCTCGAAAAAAAAACAAAAAACATACTGAGAGAAACCTAGGTAATCAATACTTGACACAGCAAACTGAGTTAAAGAGGGATTCTTGTACTTGCATACAATTTAAAAAAGAACAGGTATGTTGATGAACATGCGGCAGTCCTTACACTTCAGTTTAGAAAGTGCAACATCTGCAGCGATGTGGGGACGGCAACGCCCGACATTGCGCGACCACGGAGACTGGCAGGCAGAGACCAAATAGTTTTCCAACGGCCATTGTTTTCAGGAGCGAGTGCTTCAGCTCAGAAAGTAACTCCCGCCGAGCAAAAAGGTGGTTTCGTTTCACAGTATGACGGCATGGCTGGCCTGGTACCCGGTATGCTACCGTCGGAGCATCCACACATGCCTGCGTCTATTGTTAAAAAAGTTTTAAAAAGACGCGAGACCAGACTTACGAGACGACGAGAGCGCGAAACGAGATACGGCGGGAAAAACCATGCAAGACCGAACGAACCATTGATGCAGGGCATTTTGTGTCGAGCGGCCGCTTTTGCCACCTAACTCACGGATGCTGAATTATGGTACAGTAAAACCTCGTTATAACAAAGTTGAAGAAGCGATCGTAATTATTTCGTTATAACCATTAGTTTGTTATAGCCAATGTCCATTTCTTCCCACTATTAGCAAGCAAGGGGAATCATGATTGCTTTGTTATATCCATTAGTTTGTTAAATCCCATTTTGTTATAACGAGGTTTTACTGTACTCAGTTTAGTTTTGGTTTCGAAAAGCAACCAAAATTGGTCCTTTGGCGCAGACTTGGCGAAGATTACCCTCATTTTGGCAAGATGTAGCAGGGTTAGTCCCTTGGCACAGTTTGGTGCAATAATCACATCACTAGTACCTCCATGCCGTAATAGTATTTTAATCAAATATTCTTTATGTTTGAGAAGCAAATAATCAAGATAGAATCACTATTGTTTTCGAATGTATTCCGAGATTGCTCCTCCAGCTTTGGCTTGAAACGTTAACATACATGGCTGCCGGCGTCTGCAGAGTGCTGAACAAGCATAGTTCGTCGACCTCATCAAGTTTTATGAGCGCGAGTCCTTTTGTGATCACAAAGATGTTTAGAGAAAGATCTCCTCAACCATCGTAGTTTGCAGCAAACAACTGTTGCAAGTATGTGCCTTCGAAAGCGCTTTGCGGATGCTTGTTTTATTGTAGTAGGACTGGCCCAAGCCTAGCGTGTCGATCCTGAATAAATAGAGGTTCCTGTAAAAGCGTTCCTGTTCTGTGAATTGTGTAATCGCCGTAATTATGACCATGGTTTCAATACCCAAGAAGATACCTACACAGGTAAGAATTTGCGAGCCATTTGGCTGGAGGCAATTGGGAGTTCGGCTCACATCAAGTTTGTCTAGGTATGTTCCCGTCATTTTGCCTCGAAAGGCAAGTAGCTATTAGTTTTGTAGTGCACCTAGCGTGAAAAAGCAAATATTTTTACGTCGAGCTTTAATTCTGCGTTATGACGCTCTCTCCTTGCTCGAGGATGCCATATGTTGATATTTTTAGTCCTGTCAATCGCTTAGTGTCATATATCAATAGATGCTGACAGACGCTTGTATTGGTCCGCAGCTCGTGCATGATGAAACGCTAGAACACCGCTTTTATGGTCGCGTCTTCCGAGTGTTGCACAAGCTTTTGAACGAGGGCAGAACAGCAAATGGACGAAGGCGAAAACGGACGACGATGCGCAGCTTTCGTGCCCGCGTCTCTTGGGCATTGCAGACGACGATAGATGACGGTGAAATAGCAGACGGTGCTGCGTGTCTGCTCACATGACTATCAGGCAGAGTCAGATGCCAGACTAGGCGCACCGAATGTCGCGAAAGGGACACTAGGCTTGTTAGTATGTTTGCTCGAGCAGCCAAGCCAGTCCAGTAGCAATGGGCAAAGCCACTGATTTGTGGGCAGGGCTTAGAGGGGGCCATGACCTCCACCTAAATTGCGCTTAACAGCATAAATAATGAGCAAAAACTTGTTTTTTCGTGGCAAAATTACAAAAAAGAAATGTGCCCCAAATAAGCTTAAAAAAAATGTTTGTATTCATTGCAGCGTTTTTTTGTTTTTTTTTTTTAACAAGGCTTTCATTTATTAGGCAGGTACAAACATTGTACTTTGAATCTTGAATTATGCGTAAAGTCCATGATGCCACGGAATGGTTATACACTCTTTTCACCTAAATGAGATGGTCCTACACTCTCTCCACAAAAGAAAACAAGTGGAAAAGAGGTGACTACCAACGAAATTGCGTCTCATGCCATCAATATTTCTCTAAAAAATTTTTTTTCTTCACATAAAATAAATGTTTTGACACTCGTGTCTCAAACAGACTGCCTAAAAAATACATTTTGCTTTTCTTTTCGGTAGCCCTTTAATGGCACCCGGCGTACAAAACGGTAAATGAGAAATTTTGGCATCTTGCTTGTATGCGGAGAGCAAGTCGTCTGCTTTTTGCGCAGGATTTGCGGTGACGTCAGAAAGATGCCAAGCTCTGACTGAAGGATAGTGGGTAGACCTCAAAGCACGCTGCCTCGAGGTCTACCCACTATACCTCATACAGAACCAATCAGAGCTAGGTGTTCTGATGTCGCCACAACCACTGCAAAAGTAGACGAACTTACGCTCTGCATGGTGGTTGACAGGATAAGAACGGCAGGGCGTCCCCCTGGCAAGCATTCATTGCCTTGTGCCGTGCCCAAGCTCACAGGATGCCTTATCAAAGGTAGGAAGCTCGCGCTGGAGGCGGGAAAACTAGAGGACCTCCCCATACTCTAATCCTGCCAATGACTATAGCAGTCTCGTGCTCTGCACACATTTATCGCATTTATCGTTACGCTGCAGTCGCATTCAAATAAAGTCCGCTTAATCCCCTTGCATGCATGGCACATCGTCCCAGAACCGGAGGCGTGGTAGCCTGCGGGAGTCCGTCAAATGTCTCGTGAATTTGGTGGGAAGGGCCATGCTTAGGTGGTTTTCAGCCTACAGATATTTTAAAGGAACTCTTCAGCAGACAGGACTAAAGAGAAAGAAGATTCAGGCCAATAAAAAAAACGCGTTCGGGCGCACATTTTTATTTTTGTGTGTGTGTGTGTGTGTATGGTGCTCATGAACAAAACGGAACGGTCAAATTGCGGTTGTGTTCGAGTAAAGATGTGTCTCGAATTTGTAGCCGCCAATGCTTCGACGTAATCGGTTTTGACAATTTAGCCAGAATTGCGGCAGTTTTGTTCGATTACACCACAAAGAGGGCGACGAAGTGGTATAAATTGGAGACTTGCAAAGTGTCGGCCATGAAGTGTAATACTAGGATGCAAGGGTCAGAAGTGGTTTCCGCTACGGCAGTAGCAAAGTAGGAGCTAGTTTAATGAAGACCTGCACCCCAATGAAAGCAAACTCAGATTCCGTCTGTCCGAAGCGTGGCTTAGGACATGCGTGGAGTGTGGCAGAGCTGGCTGCCTGCTAACACTTGGGCCGCCAGCCGACTGCACGCATGCATGTTTGCGTGCGTCGCATGTATCAAGATGTTTCCGCCCACACGGCACTCCCACCCTCAGCTGCATCATCGCAAGAGGAGGAAAAAGAGGAAGACACGGCGACCCTTTAAAAAAATGTGGCAGCGGCACGTGCCAGGCAGGAGGTTGTAGAAAGTGAGCGTCGACTGCGCTCTACATAAAGTGTAAAGGCTGGCTCATACAGCACTGTCTTCTTGCATCACATACAAGTCACCAAAACATTTGTATCTCAAATGTCGCGTGCCAGGCTATTTCCTTGAACTGGTAGACACTCAATATGAAGCACAGATGTCCCGGTGACCTGTGGCCGTAGAATTGCTATTTCTCATGCAGTGCGTGCTTGAATATATATATATATATATGTGTGTGTGTGTGTGTGTGTCTGTGTATATGTAAAAAAAAAAAAAAAAAGGGAGTAAAATATGAAACGGGAATGGCTGCCAGACTTTCCTTCTGCCGCCTTGGCCATTACCAACATTACTACAACAACTCATTAGGGAAACCGCATAGAGCCTGGTTTGGAAAAGTGGCTTCTGTACTTGAGAATCGAACTAAAGGCGATCGCAACACCGCTATTTCTCTTGCAGTGGCCACTCCAGGAACTGCACGGCTGCACATATTGGTTCAGGTTGAGTTGCACACGGGTCGGTGGCGCCATCTCACGGTAGCTATATAAATCAAATATCACGTTTTGACTCGTCACAACAGGGTGGCACTGTTATCATACTTAGTTTAAAGGGCAACTCCGCTTCATTTTCGATATTTAGAAAACTATGCAGCCCTCTTCAGTATCATATAGGAAGACCCCATGTCAAATATTACGATATAATTCCGTCTATATACTTAATAAACTGGCCAGGAAACTTTCAAATGAGCCAAGTCGCTGTAATCTGCCAACTCTAGCGTGCGACGCGAGGCGCAATCATCAGCGCAGTCAATGCGACGGAGTTGGAGCGGTCAACATTGAGCCTCTACGTCAGAGGCATGTCTACGTCATTCTCACGTTTTGTTCGTTTTTATTTCTCAGAGCAAAACTGAATGATGACGTCATGAGTTTCTCCTCCCGGTGTTGGCTAAACGGCGTCTACGTGATCCCCGTAACGCGGACGCGCAAGTTTGCGCTGCCCTGCACGTTTATCGCATGTCCAGTTTCTCCGCTCCCCCACTCTCCTCTTTCGTCGTTCCCCTTCCCCCTCTCTCCCTTGGGCAATCACCGTCCACGCCATGCGAAGCCACCTGCCCGCGTCGCGTGTCCTGTACCTCGACCCCACAAACGTCACAAGACGACGTGGTTCGACATGACGTGGCCATGACTCTGACGACACGAGACCAATGTTGCCTGACGCAACCGAAGTTTCGGTTTCAGTATCAGCTGATGTTTAAATTAAGATTACACAAATAATATTCCACATTTCGCGAATCCGAAGACGTAGAGCTGTTTAGTAATGCTTTGTGAAATGGAATCACATGTAAGCCTAAATTTTTCGGAATTGAGCGGAGTTGCCCTTTAAAGTCCCTCTTATCCTGGGAAAAGTGGCACTTTCATTGTTGTGGAAATGCTTGAGACATGTGTGGCGCACCGCTTCTGGGAAGGACATGGCGTCTGAAATCTTGCTCAGTGCTGCGTTGTGCCACCATGATCTTCCCAAGGGTTGCATGTTGCACGTGCCTCTTAGACTTTGTGCTACTTTTAAGATACAAAGGTGCTTTAACCAAGTTGGGTCTCGGTGGACGCGAGCGGTCCGGGTTTCAAGGGCGAGTTTCCCAACTGAGTGGTTTAGTAACGTTGGCCATCACTAAGTAAGACCTACCCTTTTTGTAACATGACAGTGGCATATGGTTTTGTAACGTAATGTAAAAAAAAAAAAAAAAAGAGCCGTGTGACCCGGCTTTTATTTTGCATAAGATGGTTTGTCCAACAGATTGAGATACAGCTGCAAATCCTTTTGCCTCGAGATAGGACTCAAGTGTTTTCCTGGCCAAAACCGCGCGATACTTGATCCTCCGCGCAACGAGCCACGGCGTATTGACGACCAGTACGGAAGGCTCACGTTACGCAGCGTTCTTATACGCGTCAGCTGCAGGACAGAAGTTACTTAAAATTTGCAAAAATAGAAATCTGTGCTTTGCTTAACGCCGTTCATTTCCTAAGTTGGAAGAAAAGAAGCCTTTGCATGACCCTCACCCCAAGCGTATGTGGATGTTGACACTGAAAAAGGTTGACGCACCGACGCACAGTGCAGCCGAAGCGCGCTAACTTTTCGGCTGAAAGCGACCTTCATGAAGCGGGTGCAATGGGCTTCGCTAGAAGACGTGCCTCGTTGGCCAGCGGAAAATGCTGAACAAAAGTTTCTGTTAGGCCGCGCACCCTACTGCTACCATGGTAGTCTTGAAAACGAGGTTGGCGCACGCGCCAAGAGCGTCGGAAGTGCGCGTGCCTAAACAAACCGACGAGGAACCGACGTGCCGCGCTAAGGCTTGTTCGACGCAAGGCGCACGTTGGCTTTGCAATCTTGAACAGTAAATACACAGGCTTGACTTACCCGCAGCCTCTCATCCTAAACTCCTGCATCGCTTGATTTTGCTTGGTTCCACCAGCGCCATGGAACACTATGCCAGTGCTAGATCCAGCTGGCTGTGCTTGGCTTATTTGAGCTTTGGATTGGATTGGATAGTAGACCGATGGCTCGTGCTCCAGGGTTCATTCCTTGTTTTCCATGCTTTTTTTTTTTTTTTTTTTCAACCACAGTTTGTTTTTGAGAAAATTATACGTTTGGCTTCCCGGGAGCCGAGCCATTCACCGAGTCTGTGGAAGAGGCGGAAAAAGAGAGGTGCACCGGCGATGTGCAGCAGTCGCGCGATTACTTTCATCAAAAAAATTGGGTTGTGTGTGTGTTTATGCAGCCTAGAACTTGGTCCGCCTCACAGGGGCGACGAGTCTCCCAGCTGTAGATTAGAAATTTAGCCAGTGCGGTACAACCGCTAGCCTGGGCACTTTAACGTGCATCACGCAGTAGTGATACACGACCGCACGCCGGTACGATGCTCATCCAGATCGAAACGGGCAGGGGTGGGGCTCGAACCCAGGATCCCTGGGTTCTGCAGTGCGAGCTTTCGCTCCACGTGCTCCGAGCTGGTGTGCGCTAGACCACTCGGCCACCGATCCCCCCGATCCCCCCTACTTTCATCACAAAAGCGACCATCGCGGGGAAAAAAACAAAACAAAACAACTGACGCCTTTCGTTTCGAGCAGTCGATAGCTGACTCGCATATCGCGCACGCCAATCTACCTTCTGATATTTTTCTTATTTATTTATTTATTTATTTATTTTTTTTTTGCGATGCGATTTAGTTGCGTTGCGCGAGTGCTTTACTTAGCCGGTGTGAACGCGCCTGTTCGGCCCGTGGGACGTTGTGTTGTGTCGGTGAGTCACGACGACAACGCCACAACCCTCCTTGGCCACAACGCACAACCGCACAACCCCGCGGATGAGCCTCCGCAGCCATCATCTCTGCTCGTTCGTTGCCAGAAATTCAGACTACTACCACACTACTACCCCTACTGCCCCTACTACCCCATTGCTACAAAAAATGGCGGAAAATGTGTTTAATCGTAGCTACAGAAAACAGATGGCGGGAGCTACCGCCTTTTTATAAATACAATCAACAGTGCCTCTCCCACCAGTCGTCCGTAGAACTGCAACGACCGCAACATCCTGGATTCTGACATCCGTATCAGAGCTGATCCGTATGTCCGTAGCAGAATCGAGATTGACTGTTGATTGCGTTGATTCATCGACGGGTCCACGACAAAGAGTTTGACGGCTTGACGACGTGCGTCGGCATTTTTCCCGCGCACCATGTGCCTGCTGGCCGGATCATCCCGAGTGTGAAATGTCGGGAAAAGCCAAGTTCACCATCGACGACGCATTCGAAGACGAAGGAGACGACGCTGTCCGGTCGTATGGATCGACAACCGAAAGCTCGGCGCTCAAAGGGGGCACACGGGAAGAGTGCCTCGTCGTTCGCGTCGAAGACGACCGCACCAGGAGACTCCGGCTTCCGGAGGACGTGAGTGACGTCGTCGAGGGCACCCTAGGGCCCAGAATGCAGACTCTGTTTCGCAGACGCTGTCCAAGGATAGCGACTCGCTGATCCAGTGCGACGGCCGCAAGTACGACGCCAAAGACGGGTGCGTTTGAGTCTCCGACGGGGTCTCTCCGTAGAGGGCTGCCCTCACAGAACGCGCCGTCAGCCGATTTCTTTTTGTTCTGAACGGCAAAAAAACCGTGTCCCCTTGGCGTGCGTGCGTACGCTTTTGGCGAGCACAGGGGCCGCCGTGCGTAGCGGCCATAGCTGTGCGCTTTGAGGTTAAGCTCGTCCTGACTGCGATCGTTCGCCAGATTCGTTTCGGCCCGTGATGCGAGCGACCAAAAGCAACGCTGTGGTCGGACTTCCGTGATTGCCAAACGCTCGCGGTGACGTTTTTAGTAGGATTAATTGTGTTGTTCTTGGGAACGTGCTTTCATCGGCTGTCAGCCTTTGCGATGTTGGTTTAAGACTCCATGCTTCCACAATGCTTTCTGGACGCACTGTCAAACTTGTTCGGAACTGACAACCCGGGTTGTAACATCGCCGCTGGGGCGACTCTATTTCTCTTCATTTATTAGGAAGTATCCACAGCAGTACTTTGGTTACTTTCAGAAGTACTAAGATAACTTGTAATCGTTACCATTTTTCTTATTCCTTCCTAATGGTGCCCTTTGTACAAGTTCCCTACCAAGGAAACCTTGAACCACGGGGCTATGTTCGACGAATGTTTAATTTCTCCTAAAAAGAAACGGAAGTGACGATATTGCGTCTGATTGGTTAGAGGCTCAAATGACAAAAGTTCCCTTTTTTCGTCATTTGAGCTTTTAGCCAATCAGATGTGATATTGTCAGTTTCGTCACTTCCGTTCCTTTTTAGGAGAAACGAAACATTTGTCGAACATAGCCTCCCAGGTCTCTGGTAAAGGCTGACCCACATAGGGCGTATTTGCAACATATTTGTGGGCGTTTTGGCGGGCGTAATCTAGACGTACAGCGGGCGTCGGAACGAGCGCTTCTGAGGTCGGCGTAAATACGCGTGTATTCATCGATCCGACCAAGACAGATCTCGGCGCTTCGGCGTATTTTGGCGTGGCGTATCCAGAAGCGTACGGCCCGGTGCCGGCCAATCAGCTCCCTAGTTGGCAGATGCTAGTTGTAGGCACACGCTTTGCCGCAGAGCACACAACTATGGCCGCCAGTGAATACTCCCTGCAGGGTTCTGCTAGAGTTGCTGAATGATTGCAGAGTACTGCATTTCATAGCGTCTGGTTGGCAGATTTCACCAATGTAAGTTGCATGGCGGCAGCCAGAAAATATTGAATTGTGTATGTATGCATATGCACAGGAGCCCCGAACGTGGGATAGGAGTGCCCCTATACACCAACTCATATACAAACAAACCGGAGCGCTCTGAGTGGACGCCACTGGCACTGCGCATGTGCGATGTGAGCAACACGCTCGCAGTCGCCCTTAAGCAAACCATTGGGATGCAATGTTGTCGGCATCGGTGTGAGTCGTCCTGCTCTTTTTCACGTTGGAATGGTTGATTCTATGTCTTCCTGGCAATGTCTGACTATTTTAGCGGCCTCAGCAAAAGTAATGAGGCTCGTTACACTGCAACACTTCGCTTAAATAATGTGACATGTGATGACTCATTCCGCGTGGACGCTGCAGAATGGATGCCAAAGCCTGACTCACATTATGAGATTCTGCTCGCTATTTTCAGTCGCAAAGTCACTCGGGCAACTAAAAAAGCGTGGACGGTAGCTGCTATGCTCGATGTCAATACTGAAAATTGGAAGCAGAATCGGACCATGTAAATCAGGCATAACAAGTCGGTGATGGCCACCAGTAACAATGATAAACACATCCTTTTATTCATTGTTAAAACCGAGCCTATTTACCCGAAACCTTCAAATCTAAGTCTTTTGAGGCCTGCACTTCCTTTTTATCGCAATTATTGCGTCAGCGTGTTGTCTATGGGCCATTGTCGCTTCAATGTGTAGACGACAGCTTGAATGATCACACGGCCGTTGGAACGAGAAGATGCACTGAATATGGTCCACGGGTGGTCCGGAAAACGACGCATTGATCCTGCATTCATGTTGGAACGGAAGAAATAAATCTGTCGACCGGAAGTACCCGTAAATTCAACCCAAAGTGCTTCCCGCACAAGCAATCGTAATCCAACGGCGTCTGGTTTTCCCTTTTCGCGGCACCTATCCACGTTATTAGACGACGTGGGCGGGCAGAAAACATATAGAAACTGATCTCGACAACTTTCGTGGCCCCTTTGGTGCAGCCCCAGTCGTGGCGTCTGGATGAGAAGGCAGGTTGTAGTCTGGTTTCTTCCAAAACAATGCAGCAAGGCCCGGCTTGCATAGGAACTTCCGCTTACACGCCAGACTGGAAGTGCACCCGAAGCGACACCAGCGCGGCGTGACGTAACAGAGTTGATTTGGTGTACACTCTAGTTCACTTTTTGTCCAACCGCAGCTGACGCTAGGATACAATGGAGCCGATTGAGCAGCGCCAAAAGTGAGTCAAAACGGTGCTCATTGTCTTTTTTCGGTTTGCCATCGCCTGCAAAACCAATCATGCCAGGAAACAAATGCAGGGTCGTGGTGTGTTCACTGTGCACGATTGATTTAGTCTGGTGGCAAACGCAGAAAGGCGATGAACGCCGTGACGATCCACTTTTTGTGCTGCTCGATCGGCTGCAGTAAAGTGAACCAAAGTGTAGCAACAAGCTCCAGCAGAAGGAGAGGAGGATGAAAGGGGTGCAGATGTTCTCTTCAGAATTTATTGGGATGCACCAAGCAAGCGCACGACGACGTCGCTCGCTGCCTGCCAATGGTTATGTGTCCGTTCATCCGCTCTTTCACGGTCGCTGCGGGGAAGTGTTTGGTGGTCTATGTCGTAAGCACATTCCCAAGACAAACGCTCGTGCCGTCTGCGGAAGAGCTGAAGCGGACGGAAGCAGCCGAGGAACGGCACTTCCGTCCACCAGAAAGCCATCCGAAACAAAATGTGGATATGGGCACAATAAAAACAATGCGCGTCCCCCTAGGTGCTGGTGGAAGCATCCCAAGGTCCGCGACAACTGGAGGGTCATGCTTGCAGCCTTGGGCCTTCTCGTCGTGGGCCTAGGTAAGTTGTCGAGCTCCTGTGGAGCCTTCGAGGAACGCGTGCCGACTTCTCGTCCAGGTCTCCTGGTCACGGGGATCGTCGTCCAGGTCCTGCCCCAGATAGGTAAGCACGCGTGTGCGGGCACTGTGTCTCGCCACGCGGGCATCCGCTACCGGTAGGATGCCCGGAACGCTCTTCCAACTGGTGTTGTCTTATGCCGTCCACGCATCAAAAGGGGTTCGCAGGTGGCAAGCAAATGATGTCACCGGCGTTCCATGCCAGCCAATGTTGCGATCCTGGCTGTTGGTCGGGAAGGTTCTGGTGAAAAGGGCGAGCGAACGCCAGTTTTGACGCGGCTTCTGCCGTATGCACCTCCACTGCCGCGCCACTGCCAGGATCACGACGGGCAACGGCGCGACACTTTGACGTCGTGGGGCGGAAGTCCCGACCACATTTGAGGACGCACCAGTCGGATGTGCATTCTGGGCACCGTACTACCAGTGTGGACTTCCCTCCACAGGTGTCCAGGGCTTGGTGTTCTTCATAGCCGGTGCCATCTGCCTGATTCCCGGAGGTGAGAGCCGACCTCCGCTCCCCGGGATGCCTCCTGTCCTGACGGTCGTCTTTTGCCCTTCCAGCCTACCACCTGGTGTACGTGTACTGTGCAGTCAAGGGGAAGCGTGGCTACGACTTCTACAACCTACCACTCTTCAACTAGGTGTCCCCAACCGCCGGGCGTGTACGTGGCCTGGCACATTTAGCCCATTTTGTCACGTCCGTCTTTATCTCGCGTCTATTTTACCTTCGGTTCGTCGACACTGGCAGCTGACGGCAGAGTTCCATCTCGAGGGACTCAATTCCAGTTTAGTTTCACTTCGGATGCTCGCCACGCTGCTGCAAATCGGGCAGCTCTTTGGCGTGAAAATACTGGTTTGCGTACGGGAGGGGAGTTCTCAGTTCAGCTGGACACTCGAGTCAGTCCTGGGGCAGTGCAGCACTTTACAATTGTTGTTTTTGGGGTTTCTGCTATTGTCCATTGCAGGTTAAGAAAGGCAGGATAAGCTCCTCCTAGAGAGGCTCTCCACTCTTTCCAGTTCAATGCGGTGGATGCTGGTGAGGAGGCGAGTAGAGAGGAAGAAACCAGCAATCCCGAAAAATAGAGAGCTTTGTAAAACAAGCCTGTTCTGCTTTTCTTAACCTGCAACAGTATTGCTACAGTATTGCTCAAGTCAGTAATGTGCTCCGAGTGCCATAATGAACCTAGCAAGTGACTTCCAATGATCCAGGACAGCATTCTTTTGTTTCACTCCGAGGAGAAAGTTAATTATTTCATGGAGTACTCAAGGCAGCTGAGGCACCTTTCTCCTACATGCGCAACTGTTTGAGGGGTACTTGCAGACTAACATTGTGCACCTATACGGGGAGAGGGGGGTGGGTGTATTAGGCACAGTAAGTTAACAACATTGGATGGAGTATGAGTCAAACAAATGGAATTGAACAGAAAGTTACAGAAGGCAATATCCTAATGATTACTCAGACTGCAGTGCATTGCCAACAGCCTGTTTGGTGTTGCATCTGTTTCCTGCCCAATTGTATGCCATTACCCTGGTGACCCGAGTAATGCGCCCTCTTACAAATGCATATGGGCAGGACTATTGATGGCAGAGCCGTATATTGGGAGAGTTTGGTTAATGGGAAGAGCGTGCAGAGCCAGGACATTTACCAGATGCAGAGAGAGGGCTCAACGTGCTCCCTTGGCCACCCAGAAGCTGAAAATGATCCTCTAGCGTTGGTAGCAAGAAACACTTTTAATAAGAGCGTAAGAGTTAAATGTAGTCGCTCTTCATAGTTGAAAATATGGTGCACGCGACGTTTCGATTATGATCATTCAAAAATATGAAAGAAACAAATGCGCCGCTCGAACCTTGTTTAGCTCGGATGGAGTCCGACCGCTCAAACAGCAAATACCTGGCCCTCGGCACCTGGCGTGCCGGGGGCCGGGCATCTGCTTTCTGAGCGGCAGATGCCTGGCCCTTGGCTTTGTGCCGTGATCGAAACATCACTTGCACCATATTTTTGGTCGCCGAGAGTTACTCTGACGCACTTATTAATTCTGTTTCTTGCGACCACCGCCAGGGTATTATTCACGGCTTCTGGTTGGCCACATTCAAATTTGTGGGCACGCCCTGGAACGTGCCCGGCCTGCTTTCGACCAATGGCACCTTTTCATTTGTTTCCTGCACTTCCCAATGAATGGCCAAACTGTCTCTACGTACGGCTGATTGATGGGTCATTGGGATGTCTTCATCTTTGATCGCTACACGGTGGCTCCATGGGTCCAACACCCTGTGGCCAATGCTGAAAACGAGTGCTGCAAAATTTGCCGGGAAAGGCGGGTGTCACTTTGCAGTCAATTAGTCCTGCCTCATTTCAGATGCATACTGGTGCACATACTTGCATCCACTCTTTAGACCTTCCTGTCAGTGACTCAGTATCTACTCTAGAAGCCATTGCATCTCAAAATATGCTGCAAACTTGTGTGCTGCAAACATTGTACTTAGTTGCTACCAAGGCTGACTCACTTGTAGCGGACAGTCATTTGGGTATTGTGGATCCTGGAAAACGCTCAAGTGAGGCTGTCCTTTTCCCCTTGTACTACTACCCCTGCATGCCAGATCTAGTCTGTGGCAACCGTATGCTGCCAGTGGATTCTCATGTTCCTATTTTTGAAGAGGTTTAGTTTCTAGCCTATCGTATGGTATTATACTAGTCTCAGCAGAGGGAATTTTGTTAGTTTGAAGCTGTTTGTGCTGCAACGTGTGAGCCTCGACGAGTACTCAAAGGCTGTGCAATGTGAAGCGGTCTTTGTACTCGGTTGGTACCATATGGAAAGTTGAGTACAGCCTCGTATAGCCACCCGGACAGTACCCCAAAGCTGCACGTGTCTGCGTATCTACCGTGGCTGAAGCGTGTGCATGTTCGACAGCTGTCCTCCCTCCGGGGGTGCTTCCATGTAATGAGATGTGGACTCGGTCTGCTACTCTTTGTCACCTAGGGTTTTAGACGTGTGTGGAAATTGTGTACATACTGTGAATAATAGCATCGCGCATGCGTTGTGCCCCGTCTTCTGCCTCTGCATGAGTTTCTCGAAGGGTAGCTGCCCTTTGCAGGCGGGCCTGTCCTTTGTTGAATACAGGCATACTTGTGCGCCGAGACCTGGGCGCTTGTTTCTGGTATTTATAGCTGCTGAAAGACCATTATGTTTTTGTGAACTACACTTGCTTCTTATCTAAGGTTAGGTGTTGATACCGAGCACAGTTGTGCAGCGTGCTGCGATAGTTTTAAAGGGATACTACAACGAAATTTAGGTGCTTATTTCTTGGTTTATTCGTGTTCAAGGGAGCAGTATCACATCAGACACACCAATCTCTTGTTGAAAAAGGCACGAAAAGGAATTTTAAGAAATTAAAAGATTAGCAAAGAGGGCCTGGTGGATGTCGCTAATACCTCGTTTGTAATGCCCGTGAAGGAGCCTTGACAGGTAGTGATCCTCCGATCAACACGAGAGAAGGGGGGTAGGAGGAACTCCCCTCTCCCTGAGACTTGTGTGTCCCAGAAGTCGCTATTCGCGACTCGAACTAGCTATAGGTGGCGCCACTCATTTTCCAAAATGGCGGTTATAGTGAGGGTCGGAGACAGTGTTGCGGAGTTGCCACTCCGGAGTTGGAATGATTCCGGAATCATTCCTCATTTTCGCGACCCCGGAATGGAATGGGAATGGAATGGCGGCAACGTTCAGGGGAATGGAATGGGAATGGAATCAGATGCCTTTGGCCCGGAATGGAATGGGAATGGAATGGGGGCCCGGTTCTTTACATTTTTTTTATTCATTTAATTTTTTTTTTTTTTTTTTTTTTTACGTTCAGCTATACCGAGTTAGTCAGCGAGTCGGTTGCTCAGAAATAAAATGAGCGGGAAACTGAAAACCCGCGTGGAGCCCTAACAGACTTATACGCAAAAAAATGCAATACAAAAAACAAGCGTCAAAGCAAAAGAACAAAGGGGGGAGGGAAGATGGGCGGCGGTGGCGCCTTCCACCAGTGAAGTTCAACACAAACCCGAAAACGTCTGCGCCTGTTGCGCGGCTCAAGGGTACGTCATAAGTCGACGTGAACCTGACCCGCTGCTCTGGTCAGACGTGGCCTCGCTGTGCCGACCCAGACTTCGTACTCCTGCGACTCGTCTCGAGCGCGCTGTTTCTCGGAGAGCTCACACCTGTGCCGCTATATCTCAGGTCGCAATTCACAGGTCTCTGTTTGGATGATGCTAGCCGAAACTTGATGACTGCCATTCATGCGTTGGAGGCGGAAGGTTGGGAGGTAGGACCGTCACAACAAGGATGCCACCGTATCGATTTTTCAACCGTAACAGAAGATGACATGTGCTCCAGGGTGCTTCAGGTGTTCCACCCTGTTCTCGAAAATTCCAAATGCAACTGCCTGCGTGGTCTTCAACGAGGTCACCTACAACGAAAGTACGTATTGTCCTTTCATACAGCAGCGTGGGTAAAGTTTCATGTTCAAGGAAACACCTACAGATACAAGAATACTAGTTCATTCCGCCGTGACGTCATGTGATTAGTGTTGAGAGGGGCGCTCTTATTGGACAGGGAACTGATGATGTTTTATGGAATTTATTTAGAGGTCAAAGTCTTTTCGCATCACTGGTCAGAGAGACAGGATGCCAGGGAAGGGACCGCGGTCGATCCTTGATGGAACGTTTTTTGGACCCATTGAAGACACCTCTTCGTCCGGAACCACTACCTTTAAGCCGAAGCGCCAAGCCTGCGTGAAAGTAATTTCGGGATAAAAAAAAAACAAAAAAACTTCCACTTCAAGCTTAAAGCCTCATCTCAGTTGGCGTCTCAAAGAAATGTAAAAAACGTATTGCATTATCAATATTTATATTTCTGCCCTCCCTAAAATGTATTCCTTTATTTGATTTTCCGAAGACTTTTGACTCTTTTTAAAATGCATTTCCGATACGTATCGTGATACATTTTTACAGATATATTTGAGACATGAGTATCAGTATCTTAGCAACTATTTTTATCTATTCCAGTATTTGTATTTCCAAATACATTTTTGAATATTTCTGCCCAACCCTGCAACGCAATGCAGCTGTGAAGCGACACTTTTTACGTTTAGGAATTGGAGGAATGGAATGGAACGATTCAGCCATTCCAGGAGTGGCAATGGGCCCAGTGTCCCCATTCCTAGGAGTTGAAAGGAATGGAATTATCGAAAACTCTAACTCCACGGAATGGAATTGGAATGGAATGGGGGTGTCCATTCCGCAACACTGGTCGGAGATACGTGCCGCTGTTGAGCCTGTCTAGTGTGCTGGCTTCACTGAGCGACACAAATTATTTCTGGTAATATGAGGACGCTAGGGTGTTGTGAGCGCAGGTCACCTCTTTACCCTGAAAACAAGAACGGTGTTTAGCGTAATATTTACGCAAGGATACGAGTTTTAATTCTGGAGTGAAACCGAAACTATCCTCTATGTGGGATTTAATTTCTCGATATAAGTTTTAATTTCGGATTCTTTCATAACTCAAGATGTGTCTCACATCGTAATTATTTAGTTAGAGAAGTTTTTCGCGGAAACTTTATTGTGTGACATACATGTTCGATCTAGGCTGAAATTTGTAGTTCTAGTTCTTGAAAAAATCAGTGCTGATACTTGTGCGCAATGAACTGCGGGCCTTTTAATGGGTTTTTGGGTATTTAGATGATTAATTGGTTTAACATTATTCCCAGCACAAGAATAAGAGAATAATTAAAATTTTTACAATATGTCCACAAAACGTATAAATTAATAAACGCTGTTCTCACTGCAGCAACCCAAAGATGGATCCGACTCGGACAGCTGAAGTGTATGTGTGTGTGTTTTTATAGCAACGCCTGACGCATAGGACTTTATATTACATCCAGCGTTTGACTGTTTGCCCATCTTGATAGCGATGTCAGAGTTTTTCATATGCTAAAAAGTAAACATAATCGTACCTTTCTTGGAAAGACTATTATGGTTTAATGGCGTATTTTCACGATCTTGGCATTGACTGGGGAAGCGAGCAAGCCGGCCGTGTCGCGGCGGTCGCCTATTGTTCGCCGCGACCTGGCGGTAGCCGCCGCAGGAGCATCGGGCAGCAATGGCGACGAACAGCACGGCGGACAGTGTCCCCGTCGTGATTACGACGGAATTTAAGGCAGTTACGAGTTCGGAAAGTTCCTTCGGAAGCCGGTGCCGCCGGCTCAGAATCATCGCGAAGTAATAGCAACGAACAGCACAGAGGACAGTGGGCGACTAGGAACTCCAGAAAGCTTCTTCGGTAGCCGGTGCAGAATCATCGGGGGGAAGCAGTGGCGATTAGCAGCACAGCGGACAGTGTTCCCGGGGTGATTACGGCGGGGTTTAAGGCGGTTACGAATCCAGAAAGCTTCTTCCGTGGTGCCAATATGACGAAGAGAAAACTGTTTCATGAATCTGGCCGCGTGTGCGACGTGAAGGAGGTCCGTTTCGACGGACAAGTGGATGTCACGGAGCGCCGTACTCTGCAAACAAAATTAAGCGCGCCCGCAAAAAAATTTTGTTGGCGTTGAGTGGACTGCGGTAATTATGTACGTTTATTTCTGAATCAGCTTGACAATAACAGGGCGATTTTTTTTCGCGCCGTTCCGCAATTCTCTTTACTATCTTCCTGTAGGCTGATGGAAACATCCAACGGTAGGCTTAGGAGGGCGACAGCATTCCGCTTCTCCATTCCGGTGAAGTATTTGCTGCATACTTTAGAGTTTGCCGTCGGTGTCGGTGCTGTTCCATCGTCGCTAGAAAAGAAAAAAAGTTAATTGTATTATTCGTCAGCAGCTTAAACAAAGCGCGAACTGGAAGGTAAGAAACACCACTAACCTGTATGGACGCACAAGTCGTACCCAGGTCGCGCAGTACTCCGCCTCGTACGGCTTCGAAGGGACGATGTAGTACTTCGTGCCGTGCGCGATCTTGCCGACCACGAAGCAATTGTTGCAGCTTTCTTGGTGCGGAATAGCCATCTCGGAAATTACAGCGCTAACCCACTACAACGCACAACCAACGCAGCGACTGGCAGAAGATGCCCGATGCAACGGACCCGTTTGCCGCTAGGGGCGCCCTGGTCGGGGCATGAATTAGATCCGCACGGTTTTTGTATTAATAATAATAATATTAAAGTTAAGACATTTGAATACGTAATTTTTCAAGCTCTAATGAAATGTGTTGCTTATGATTTAATTTAAAACGCGCCAGTAAATATATCAATCAAAAGTGTGCTTATTATCATCACTGGTGCCAATTGCAGCATTTTGAATTACCAAGTAATAAAATAAAAGAATAGTCTAAAATCAATTAAAACATTCTAGCTAATGTGAGAAGTCCATGTAAAATTACATTAATTGTAGGTAAAGTATATTTTGCTATCAAAGTCGCGACTTCTGACAATCGGCAAAACGTCCAAAGTTGCCGCCAATATACAGGGTGTCACAAAAGAAAATTTACACGGTCTTTTTTACCGCAAAAATAAACAAGGCATCGCCGAACGCTCATTCTCCGCCCAAAGGTAGTGCTATAGGTCACAACCAGATGCCAAAGTTTCTGCCCGATCCGATAACTTAATCAAAAGTTATAAGTGATTTTCTGAAAATTTCAATGGGAAAATGGTGGCCGGCGGAGTTTTCAAACACATGGGGCTCTATGGCACCAGAAACCGAAAACGGGCAAAAATGGGCTCCATTTTCCCATTGAGATTTTCAGAAAATCACTAATAACTTTTGATTAATTTATCGGACGGGGCTGAAACTTTGGCATCTGGTTGTGACCTACACTGTTAGAAAAACTCCTGTCAAAATATGGAACACATACATGCTAACCTTGTTGCCACAACATGTACTGTATTACCAGACTACAAAACATGTTCCATACTTCTTTAGTACGGGACATGTTGTTGCTGTATGGGCAGCCACAACAAATTCCATACACCATCATCACGGAACAAGTACTGTATGCTACAGGAAATGTACCATCGTGG